TCTTTCATGTATTTTTAACAATAGTAAAAGAGTTATAGGAAAAACCCGGGTATGTTGGTGCTTTGTTATGAATTTTATAAGGAAGTTGCTGTAAGATTGTGAGTGGTTTGGTGATCTAAGAAATAAAATTTTACTCTGCCCCTCAATGCTCAACTCAAGGCTGCCGGACTCTGCGACCCATGTTGGTTTGATTCAAGGTGGTCCAGACCCACCCTGTTATTCACCCCTTTAGCTGCTGATAAAGCTTTGATCTAATGTCTCAGTCACAATAACAGCTTCTGCCTTATCCCCAAATCCAGTCCTCTTCATGAATATCAGTTCAGTCAAAAGAGCTCCACCATGTTCCTTTGGACCCAAACTCCAACGTTACATAATGCCTGCCAGTGTCTGCCCCACGAATCATGATTCTCTGTCCAGGGTACGGCAGGAGCTCAGTACATATTGGTTGTGTGGGCCAGTGATTCTCAACACTTTTCTGTTTTAAACAAATGTGTTGTAAGATCTCTGTATCAGCAAAGTACTGGACTATAACAAACTCTCCCAAAATTCCATAGTTTAAAGCACAATGTATTATTGTTCATGTTGTGTTTACTAGGACCACTTATTCCCCTGCACAAGCTGAAAGATTAGCAAGGCTGGAAGGTCCGTGATGACTTGCTCATGAATTTGGCAGTTTGTTTGATAGCTAGGGCTTCTCAGTTCACCTCCATCCTCCTCTACACTAGACCGGCTTCTTTGCTTGTTGGTCTCATGGTGGTATTCCAAGACAATGAAAATAGACGCTTCAGGACTAGCAGTTAGCGTAATGGCTATGTTGCTGGACTCCCACATAGTCAACCGTGGTTCACGTCCCAGACCCGGTGGCTTAAACTCATGCCAGGCATGTGTGTGTGCGTGCCCAAGATCCCGAGAGGAGAATGAAGGAGAAGGGATTGTGGTGTGGTCATGGGAGCTGGGTGGTGATTTCTCACTTTCTGTCTCTCTGTCTCTCTGTCTTTCTGGCGAGTGCACATGCCCTATAGCAAAAAAAAAAATAAAATAAAATAAAATAAAAAAATAAAACTTTCCAAAAAGAAAAGAAAATAGACGCTTCAATGCACCTTAGGGCCTAGTTTTGAAAGGCATGTATCAATAATATGCCTTAGGATGGTTCATTTTACATGTCAACTTAACAGGGCCATGGTATGCCCAGGTATCTGGTGAAATATTATCCTGGGTGTGTTTTTGAGGATGTTTTCAAATGAGAATGGCATTTAAGTTGGTAGACCAAGTATAACAGATTGCCCGCCCTAAGGTGGGTGGGCTTGCCCTAATCAGTTGAAGGTCTTCATAGTTTGGAGATTCTGACCTTCCCACAAGTAAGAGGGACTTCATCCCGTCCAACTGCCTTCGAGCTGGGGCATTGCCTTTTTCCTGTTTTCACTCTTCCTGTATCTCAAGCCAGCTGGCCTCTGGACTGAAACTATACCATCACTCCCAGTTCCCAGGCCTTCAGATTCTAGCCAGAAGTATGTCATTGACTCTTCTAGGTTCCCAGCTTGCTGACTGCAGGTCTCAGGACTTGTCAGCTTCCGTAATCACATGAGTTAATTTCATATGTAAGAGGGTACCTCAAAAAGTTTGTGGAAAAATGACATTAAAGTATGGTTTATATCTTGGTACAAAACAAGTTTGAAATCTATGCACAGTCTTCTTTCATAATACAGATTTTCTATAAACTTTTTTTTTTTGGAGAGATTTTCACTATAGGATGCGTGCGCTCGCCAGACAGAGAGAGACAGAGAGACAGAAAGCAAGAAATCACCCCCCAAGGGGGATGGTCACGCCGCAATCCCTTCTCCTCCATTCTCCTCTCGGGATCTTGGGCACGCACGCACACGCGCCCGGCGTGAGTCCACCAGGTCCAGGACGCAAACCGTGGTCAACTACGTGGGAGTCCAGCAACATAGCCATTACGCTAACTGCTGGTTCCCAGATTTTCTATAAGCTTTTTGAAAACTCTATATATATTGGGTTGTCTGAAAAGCCATGATGTATTTTTCTATGTAAAAATATGTCATGACTTCCCCAATGACCCAATATATGAAAAAAATAAATAAATAATCTGACTAGTAAGCACCTTCCTTGCGCCATCACTATTGTTCATAAGTTAGAAGGACAGCCCAGATCCAAGGAGACGGTGAAACAGACTTGAGCTCTGAATGAGAGAAGCGGCAAAGTCACTTCTCAGAGGAAGGTGTGCATCGGTTTGGCAGGATTTCACGGCCAGTCAACATCTACCCTAGCACCCTTTACTCTCCTTAAAGCAAAGAAGAGAGAGTCAACCTAAACTGAAATCTTTAAAAACTCAAAATAAGGTGCTAGCCATAATATAAGGGAGATGTGAAATGGAAATAATTTCTAATAAAAACAATACGTATTTTAATATGTAAATCCCCGGGCATGCTTGCATTAGAAGACACAATGAAGCAATCGGCCACTTACATTTCCATGCCGAACGACACAGGACTATTCTACTAGTGACTCAGGTATTACAAGACTCATTACATCACTTAAATGCCATTTTCATCCAAAAACAGCCTCAAAAACACAGCCAGGGGACCAGCAGTTAGCGTAATGGCTGTGTCGCTGGACTCCCACGTAGTCGACCGCAGTTTGCATCCCGCACGCATTCGGCCACTTACATTTCCATGCCGAACGACACAGGACTATTCTACTAGTGACTCAGGTATTACAAGACTCATTACATCACTTAAATGCCATTTTCATCCAAAAACAGCCTCAAAAACACAGCCAGGGGACCAGCAGTTAGCGTAATGGCTGTGTCGCTGGACTCCCACGTAGTCGACCGCAGTTTGCATCCCGCACCCATTGGCTTAAAACTCACGCCAGGCGAGTGAGCGTGCGTGCCCAAGATCCTGAGAGGAGAATGGAGGAGAAGGGATCGCGGCGTGGCCATCCCCCCTGGGGAGTGATTTCTCGCTTTCTGTCTCTCTGTCTCTCTCTGTCTGTCTGGCGAGCACGCACGTGCCCTATAGCAAAAACCTCTCAAAAAAAAAAAAAAAAAAACAGCCAGACTATTTCACCAGCTACCCGAGCATACCATGGCCCCGTTAAGTTGTCATGTAATAGTAACCATCACAAGGCATATCACATGACTTTCAAAACTATGTCTCAAGGTGCCTTGAAGCTTGTTTTCACCATCTTGAATACCATCATGAGACCACCATGCAAAGAAGCCGGTCTAGTGTAGACTTCCCAAACAGTAAATGACTATTAGTAATGTTCCTGAGTTATACCATAATTGTATCCTTACACTGCACAGTACAGATTAAAAACAGAGCCCAAAGTCCTTACGTACTAGATTCGGGTAAGTATGAACAAGTTTTGTGCCTACAAGAATGTGTGACTGGACATTCAGAGTCCGCAGGACAAGAACTCAATGTTGAGAACATTGCAGGAAAACTTGACACCCCTTGTATCTTTGGTCCAACCAAAACCAGTCTCCAAAGTTTGAGGTGCCCCCTGCGGGTGTACTGCTGATTAAGAACCATCAGATTGGGGCTATTATAACAAGGGTAGAGACCGGAAATGTACCCTGTGGAAGGGCCCCCAGTGCACCACCAAGAGAACCTCCAGCGAGCCCTGGAGAGGAAAGAAATGGAGGAGGTGCCCAGTGTGGGGATGGGAAAAGAGGCAGATGTAGGTCCCAGCAGATACAGGGAGTGAAGGGCTCTATCTTCCCCATCTGCATCAGATTCAGAAAAGACTCAGCAATATGGCCTTTTAGGGAGAGAGTAGGCCTACCCTACCTGGTGGCTAATAGACCCCATCCTTGAGGCCACACAGGTGGCAGGCCAACACCAAGATTTAGAGCTAACCCTGGAAAACTTGCTTTTTCTTTTGGACTTTAAAGATGCACAAAGTCAATGCCTGTGTGGAGAAATTCTGGACCAGGGACATAACCCCCAAGGTTTTGTTTTTAAGGCTGCACTCCTCCCCCTAGCACACCAGGCCCTGCCATGCCCAAAACTTTCCTTGAGCAACCAGGGAAGGCCACGGTGCCATCCTATGACCGTGGATGATGTGGTTGGCTCTCCGGTGGCAAAGAAAGTCAGCCTGAGACCTTGGGCTTGTGTCTGCATGTGGCGCACGTGTGTCGAGTGTGATCTGTGAGTTGTGGAGTCATTTCTGTTAATTAAACTCCTTAATATAATTTTGAGGTAAGAGTGCTTGGCCTGTATTTCAGACAGCCCCAGGAGGACTGGAAGGTGGGGGAGTGTGCCATCTGGCAAAGCACCACAAAGCTTAATCACCCTGGGGAATTCGTAGAATACTGCACGGGTGGAGGAGCAACAGGTAGATGGACAAATTGACACACAGACCCTACTCATTTTGCCAGTGCTTGAGGTGAGAGCAGGTCTGTTTTCCCCTCCAATGGCCCACCCACCCAGTCAGCCTTCACTACATCTGACCCCCACGAGGACATGGTGTGCTCCACCCTCCAGCCATAAAGCCTGGGGCCATGTTAGTTCTCACTCCGTGTCCTGACAGCCCCCCCTCATCACCCAGGAATGACACCTCTTGAAATCAAACCTTCTCCTTCCTCAGACTGTGTTTATGCAGGGCCACAAAAGTGCCACATTCACTCAAAGCCACGTGTCTCTGAAAGGAGATCAATACATAATTATGTGTGCTGTCTGCACCGCGTGGCCCAGAGCCAGGCTGATTGGGAACCAGAGAAAGCGAAAACACAGTGGTCGGTGGTGGCCCAGCTGATGCACCCTGCTGGCTGGAAGGTGCAGGTGCCCACAACCAACCACCCGGCCTGGCTGTGCCCACCTCGTGGGCCTCACAGTCTTTTGCACATGGAGCCATTCCAGGGCAAGTTCAAACGAGCGGTCAGGCCGCTGGCTCCTCTGCTTCTGCTGTGTCTTCAGGGACTGGACACTGCGGCAGCCTCCTCACCTGCCTCCCTGCCTCCACCCTTCCCGCTCCATCTAGTGGCTTGGGCACCAGAATTCCCAGAGATCTTCATACAGTGCAAATACGTCCCAGTCATTTTTCCGCTTAAAGTCACTCTTCGGAAGCAGCACAGAGTCGAAGACATCTCGTCTGGTGTCAGAAAAGCAGAGGTTTGAGTCTTGCTTGGGCCACTGTGAGATGTAGGCCAAGTCATTAGACCCTCTGTAAAACAGACGAAATAAGAATACAGACCTTACGGGGTCTTCTGTGGGCGTTCTCTGAAATCGGCATGCCAAACACTAACGTAACACCCAGTACCACAAGTACCACTGAGTTCTGGCCATCAGCAGCCTGATGGATTTGTAATGGCTTCCTTCCCAGAGCTGGTGCCTCCACACATTTTCAGGAGCAGCACTTACCATCTGGGGGCCGCCTCCATGTACAGGGGGCAGGGGCTCACGGGTGCAGGACCTGGGTGCGAGCAGGGGAGGATGACATTCTTGTCAGGGCTTCACTGTGAAAACGGCATGTGCGTGGGAATGGGAGGGGCCGGGCTCAGCTGCAGGCAGCTGTCAACTCAGATCTAGTCAAGGTGCAATCCGGGGCTAGTCTTGGGCCAGGGTCCGAGCTCGGTCTAGAAATGGGGTTTGGGGCCGGCAGATGGTGTTGCGGTTAAGAACCCTGGACTCCCACAGTTCGAGTCCCAGACCTAGCGACTTGCTTTCTCACTTTCACGCTCTCTCTCTCATTCTCGCTCCCTCTCACTTTCTCACTCTGTCACTCTCTGGTCCAATTAAAATAAATAAATAAATAAAGTTAAATAGAATAATTCCTTAAAAGGAAGAACTGGGGTTGCGGGTCAGCCGAGGCTGGCATCAGTCCTGTCTGTAACTAAATCAGCGCTTACACTGAGGCCAGAGTGGAGACTCAGACAGACAAGGAACAGGGTGTAGAGATTTCCCTGAACGGAGCCCATAACCAAAGCCCTGTGGGGCTAACCGGGTTGTGACTGCAATGCGTCGTCTCCCTTCCCGATTTCACTGCATCACCCAGCCACGTGCAACACTGTTACAGACCTTTTGGCAAATGAGAGAACCGATGTTAGTCATTTGTCTTCTGCAAACAGCACATCTGTCAACCGTTGTACTTCCTCATGCCAAAATAGATACCAGAAACCACATCTCTGTCCCTCGTGACTCCAAACACGTGGAAGAAAAGCAAACATAAGCTTCCCTTGAATATTTCCAAAGACCCGAGTGTTTAGGTCCTCTGTTCCAATACCCCTGCCCTGGCAAGAAGGAGAGTCCCACCAGATGGAGAGCCAGAGTGTATGGAACTCACGGCTGTGGAGGACAGACTGGAAAGCATGCACCAGGAGTGAGGGAGGGAGTTGGACAGGAGTCAAGAAAAGGAGTTCTAGGGCTAACAGGTGGCATAGTGGTTAAGGCGCTAGACTCCCACGTGAAGGTCCACGGTTCAAGTCCCCAGCCTGGCAGCTTGAAACCCACTGAACATGTGTGCGTATGTTCCCAAAGTCCAAAAAGGAGAAAGAATTTTGGCATAGTCATCCTTTCTGGGGGTGATCTCTTGCTTTCTGTTTCTATGTCTCTCCAGCAAATGCATGTCCCCTATAGCAAAAAATAGCTAAAAGGAAAAAAAAGAAAGAAAAAGAAAAGGAAGGAAGAAAAGAAAAGGAGCTCTAGGATCCCAGGTTCAGAATGGGCCCGAAGAGGAGGTGACCAGAAGGGATGAAGAAGTGGTAACCTGCGCTGTGGTAAGTGGGCACAGGGCACCAAGCTCTTCACAAGGCCGGCAGCCAGGACAGAGGAACAGTGGAGAGACCCCTCAGGGGAGCCACCCCCTCTTCCTCGGGGAAGGTAATATGTGGGTCCTGCATGACTCTTCCCCACCAAGTGACTCTGCCTTCCCCTCCTCCCTCCACTCCCAATGTGCCCTGTCCTTTCTCTGGGGGACGGCAGGCCTTCCCATGGTCTGCCTTCTTTTCCATTCCTCCCCCAGCCCTCGACAGCTCCAGCATTCCATGCACTCAGATCTCTGTTTCGCCTCCCAATTCTTTTACTGAGATGGTTCCAGAAGGCAAATTCTTCCACAGCATTAAAAAATAATTTATAGAAATAACGTTCCTTTAATAAAAGCCACATAGAATTATACAATTTTTATGGTGCATGACAGAATAAGAAAGGTCCGAGCTCTTGTGGAAAAATGAATCTCTCCTACCCCAGCAGGTTCTGGATGATCCTACCTCCTCGGGCTAATATAAAATATGGACTTGGAAAGTTTCTCCCGCCGTGGAATCGGGCCAAGCTGGCCACTCATTCTGTTCCGAAGTGCTCGTCCGAAGACAGTTTCTTTCAGCCTGGCTCATAAATATGAGGGCAGGAAGAGAAAACTCACTTCTGCTGCCTCTACTGCTGCTGCTGCTGCTTTTTTATATATAATTAAACAGTTAGTGGCTAAATTGCATTGTAATTGATTGCAAAATTGCTTTTTTAATGAGATTTAGACACTAGGAAATAGCTTTTTTTTTTTTTTTCCTTCAATATGCCCAAAGTGAACCTGGTCATTTTGACAACAAATTGCCTCCCTGGTCTTCTCCAAGGCACATGTAATTCTGAGATTAGCAGAGCAGGGGGGTGCTGGACTGCCCTGGGAAGAGACGGCTGAAGCCAGCAGTCCGTCTCCACCCCAGCAGGGATGGCGATTTGGTGGCACCTTTTCCCTGGTGCTCTCACGGCACCTTCATCCCCTTTTCCTTCCCACCTAAGGGTGCAGACAGACTGGCAGAGCTGGGAGAGTCCTCAGATTATATCATTTTCCAGTTTAGGATGCTGTTAACATATAAAGGTAAACTGAGGCAAAGTATATAAATCCAAAGAAGTTGATTCTGGCCACGTGTGAGGACTGCAGTCCGGCATGCAGCCCAGTGGACAAACTCAGATTGCCTGAACACAGGCACCACGGTCTTATTATCCTCGAGCAAGTTTGAAAGGCAAAAACCACAGTGGGGGGAGGGGATTACGTCCGTTTAAGGACCCTTCCCACAATGCTGGAGGCAAATTAAGTTTATCTCTGCCACTAAAACCCGCACACATTCCTGTGTCAATGACCTCAGGGAATCCGTTACGCAGAGATTCACCCAGGACTCTAAACGCAGTCGCCAACCTTTCACCCACGGAAAAGAGTCCAGATTTCTCATATCACCTATGTATCGTGAAGGTAACGCTAGCTGCTGCTGAGTAAATGTGCAAAATTTACAATGAGAAGGATTGCTTCTCATTTAAGGAAGAGTCCAATGGGACTGGTGTCCCTAGTTGGCAGACGAATCTCCTCCACATGAAGACTCAGGGATCCAGGCTCCTTCCATTGGCTCTCCCCATCACACTCCAGGGCTTGGCAAATATTTTCTGTAAAGAGCTAGAGAGTAAGTTTTTCAAGCTTGTAGGCCAGACAGCATCTGTCATAACTATTCAATTCCACCCTTGTAAAACCAAAGGAGCCTACACTATATGTTAAGTGAGTGGCCATGGCTGTGTCCCAATAAAACTTTATGTACGACAACAAGCAGCAGGCCAGATTCGGCCTATGGGCTATAGCTTGTCTTTTGCTTCCAACTGGCAAAGGGGATAAGGAAGGGGTTGGAGGAACTGCGTAAGCTTTTTAGGCTCCTTCACCCAGGAGCATCAGAGAACACATCCATGTATGTACACAGGTCACTACTTGGATGGGAAACATAGTCCCTGGTTGGGCCGTCTCTTTCCAGCAATAAAGACATGCTGTGGAAGGATAGCATGGGTCTTCGGGATCAACTGGCCAGCCATCTCTGGGAATTTAGTTTCAGCTCTTACCTACCAAGCATCTGCTGCATGCATGTGTGTGTGTGTGTGTGTGTGTGTGTGTGTGTGTGTCTGTTTCTGTGTTCCATGTGGGCATGCAGGGGTGCATATGATCCTGATCCACTCCTAGGAGGGAGTAGAGTTTAGTTTTCTAGCCTGAAAAAATTAGAGATCTGGTTCCTCAGAGAAGACATTGGAATTCTTTCTAAGGTTCTTGGTTTTCAAGCAGGTGCCAAAACTGCCTGGTAGAAAGCCACGGTCCTGCCAGGAAGCAGATAGAAGAGGCGGAAAACTGGTGGAGGCCTCCCAAGGCAAGAGCCATTCTGTTTTATTTCTCACTGAGTCCTAGAGCTCAGCACAGAGCCTGGCGTGGAGAGGGGCCCCTGTATTGGCTGAATGACTGACTGAATGGACCAGTGACGCATCTGCAGAGCTCTCGGGGGTTCAGTGCAAGGCATTTCTCCTGGCTGATTAGTTCATTACATACACCAAGGAAGCTGTCTCAGATCTGTGTGGTGTCAAAATATCAAAGGAGATCATTCTCATCCAAACAAAAGAGTGAAAGTTTAGAGCCATCATGTAGACGTCTGGTCTGTGAGGACTCCTCAAAACATTAATCAAAAACGCATGTTATGTAGGGCCAGCAGGTGGCGTGGTCGTTAAGTTGGCTGTATCTCACATGGCCAACTGCACAGTTTGAGACTCGAACCCAGCAGCTTGAAAAACACACCAGGCTCAGAACCAGCAATTGGTGTAATGGCGACGTCGCTGGACTCCCATGTAGTCGACCGCAGTTTGAGTCCAAGACCCGGTGGCTTAAACTCACGCCAGGCGCGTGTGCATGTGTGCCCAAGATCCCGAGAGGAGAATGGAGGAGAAGGGATTGCGGCGTGGCCATCCCCCTGGGGAGGTGATTCCTTGCTTTCTGTCTGTCTCTATCTTTCTGGCGAGCACACATGTCCTATAGCAAAAACCTCTCAAACCCCCAAAAAAAAAAAAAAAAAGAAAGAAAGAAAAGAAAAAGAAAAACACACCGGGTTTATCTTGTGTATGTGTGTGCTCAAAATCCCAATGGGGGCTAGAAATGGAGAAGGAATGGCAGCATGACCATCCCCCTGAGGGGTGCATTCTTACTCTTTCTCTCTCTCTCTCTCTCTCTCTCACTTGCCCCCAATAAGCACATACAGCCTATAACAAATTTAAAAGAAGAAGGAGGAGGAGAAGGAGGAAGAAGAGGAAGAGAAAGAGAAAAAGAAGAAAGAAAGAAAGAAAGAAACTATTCATGGATTTTAAATATTTGGGGAACTAAAATAAACTTGCACTTTAATTCTACTTTTTCCATGAACCTTTTGAAGTCCCCTCATCCAAGAGGAAGTCTAGTTCTGCTAGGAGCCAGAAGACCTAGCTGGAAAAACTCTGTGACAACAATAGCCACAGTGTGATACCATACAGTTCTTTTCTGGGGTCAGCAGGTGGTATGGAAGTTAAGGTGGCTGGATTTCCTGAGGCTGACTGCATGGTTCAAATCCTGGGCCTTGTAGTTTGAAAATCGCACTGGGTGCATATGTGTGTGTGCCAAAAATACTGAGAGGAGACCGGAGAAGGGTCTATGGCAGG